CAGAATATGGGTTCTCCAAGTGGATCTGGATATTCGACTCAAAATCAGAATATGATTTCCCAAAGTGGATCTGGATATCCGACAGACCAAACTATTGAACCTCCATTGACATCGCCTGCTTCTTCTACCTGGTCACATCAGTCAAGCTCTACTCAATATAGTTCACAAATAAATTTTGATGCTGATTTCTAAAATACCTATCTTCTACTACTTGTGTTATTTTTTTTATACAAAAAAACAAGACACCCTGGTATCTTTCGGCCAAGTGGGATACTAAGCCAGAAGAACCCAGGGTAGTGCCGGATTAACCGTGTTCCGGCTAAAACCTTAACCACCGTTCCAGAGAGGTGGTCTTGCCACTCAATAAACAACTAAAATAAAAAACTAAGAATTTATATATAACAATACCTATTACCGTAAATCAGAAAATGTTTAGACGTTAGGATATAAACTAGTAAACATTATAAACTATAAATTTTTAGATCCCTGGCTTAATTTCCTCCTCTGTCCTCCTGGTCCTTTTTCTTCATCATCCTAGAAATCAGACAGTGTACTTCTCCCCATTATTTATCTCCTCTCAACATTATGTTTACAATGTTTCTTTCATCCAGACCGAAACCCATTCGCCTCTCGAAATCTCCCATCTCATTTGCCAATTTCTGGCAGTTAAAAATGTGGGCGGGAGCATCCGGTACCGCACAAACAGTACAGTATTCCAAGGCAGATTTGCCTATTCTATTTGTGAAAGTGCCAAAACAACAATATTCGGTCAGAAACTGCGTCAGAAAGTAGTCTAGTTTACTGAACTTACATTTCCACGACGGTCTCAGATCGGGAATAAGCTCCTTCGTCCACCTTGCCTTTCCACTATCATTCGCCCATTCTCTCTACCACTCTACTATCGTTCTTTCTCTTTCATTCTCATGTATATTTACATCCATCCTCGCTCGCTCTTTACACAACAAAACGATCGGTATCACCGCTCCAATGACATATAGAGCCTCATTCGAGACTACTACCTACATGCACTAGACACCCTAAGGAGCATTCGCCTTTGCGAAGTCTCCATCAGCTTAGCGTATTTCGCAGTGTTTAGTACACTACACCACACAGGGGCAGCATAGGTTGCTACCGACTGAAAAACTCTATTTGGCACCTTTCTTTTGGTGCTTCCTGGGCCATTAATGTGTGGCATCAACCGTATCAACGCTTCCAGATTTCGGTTCGCCTTCTCTACTGTATTTTGGATGTGTACTCCGAACCTTAGACCTTCCGACAACCAGACTCACAGATATTTAATTGATTTAACCGGTGCAACCTTCCACACCTTCCACTATAAAGCAAAGAGAGGATCTTTCCCGGGTCCCTTTGAGAACTAACACCTCAGTTTTCTGAGGCGCTAGCTGTATATCGTTCTCTTTGATCCACCTTCGCAACCAGTGCGAGATCATCAGCATAAGCTACAAGAGTGCATCCCCTTGGTATCTGTAGCCTGTGTTATTTTCTTAAAATAAATGATTTCTTACCTTAATAAAATCGAGAGTCGTTCTTCAGGACAAATGCACTCTCAAAATCTTTATTTTGATAGTGAATTCTTGCCGAAACTCGTGCCAGTAGATCGTTAAATGTAGCTATGGACATTCTAAACTAATTAAAGAACTTATGTTCGTCACTTCTTAATTCTCCGATTAAGGCTGTTTTATCGCTGCACCAAAACCTAGTGACTTTTATTTACCGACAAAATGTCTCGAAATTTGGACACAATATTCGAAATTATGTTGCTTTTAAAATTATGGTTTTATTTTTTTTATTTTTTTGAAACTTCTGTTGAAAAATTGGATTATACTGTTTAACGTTCTATTATAACCAAACTTTTTACGCCCATCACTTGAAAGAGATTTTTTTTTCTGTAATCGTTGATTTTTTTTCACCTTTCTGTGTCCAGTAATAATCGAGAAAAGCGTGTTCCAACTTTGAAGAAAATTGCTAAAAAGCACTAAAATCTAATAGTGAAACGTGTTACTCATCATTGTCGTTTATTTTCACCGTTATCGCCTTCGTGACGTCAAATCTTATGAAAGTACGGTCAGTTAGTTCGTGTTAAAACTAATTTAAATGAAGAGTAATGCATTTGTTATCATTAAACTAGCCGTCGGATGCGCCACTGAGTAAAGATAGTCTCGCGTAAGCAGTATAGAAAAGAAAGTGATACGCCCATTTCAAATCGCAGTGTGCTTGAACTGCTTCTCTCTCTTGTCGTTTCCTCATTGCTGGGGATCGTGATTCCCTACAATGCGGGCTGTCAATTCTCTCCATCTCTTGCGATTTTGGGCTGCTCTCATGGACTCGGAAAACGTATCTCCAGTGGCTTTCTGTACTTGATCTGACCATCGGATAGGTGAGCGTCCTCGGCCTCTACGTCCTTCTACGTTTCCGCACACAATTAGTCTTTCTAAGTTGTCATTGTCTCTTCTCGCAATGTGGCCAAAAAACTTTAAAACATTTGCAAGACACTGAGAGGAGAGTCTGGTCTGAATGTTTAGCTCTTCGAGAATGATGGACTGATTGGATCTGTGCTCCGTCCACGAGACGCGTAGCATTCGTCTCCAGCACCACATTTCGAATGCGTCAATCCTTTTCCTATCCTCTGATTTTATTGTCCATGTTTCGGCACCGTAACTAAACATTGAAAAGACGAGTGTCCGTACCAGTTTCATTTTGAGTTTTTTGGACAAAGAGCGGTCCTACCATATTTTTGACAGTCGACTCATCGCGTTCTTGGCCATTCCTATTCTTCTGCGAATTTCCGTATGGCAGGAAGCTGCATTGCTTAAGGAAGATCCTAGATACGTGAACTCGTCTACTTTCTCGAATTGATTTAGGGCGCCTGTTGTTTGGAGGATATTCGCGTGGTCCACAATCATGATTTTTGTTGTCTGATTATTAATCTTGAGCCCACACTTGTTGCTTTCGGTTTCTACTCTCTTTATCAGTCTCGACATCTCCTCTTCAGATGTTGCTATCAGTGTTGTATCGTCTGCGAATCTTAAGTTTGAGATCTTTTTCCCTGCAATGGAGATGCCGCCTCTCCATCCATCGAGTGCGTTCCTCATTATGTATTCTCCATATAAATTGAACAGGTCTGGAGGTAGTATGCAGCCTTGTCGTACACCTCTGCTGGTTTTGAAGGTATCAGATTGCTGGTTTTCAATTCTTATTTTAACTGAGTTATCTTCGTATAAGTTTTTAATTAATATTGCCAAATGATCTGGAACTCCCATCTTATGAAGAACTGTCCAGAGAACTTCCCACTTTACACAATCAAATGCCTTTTGGTAGTCTAGAAAACAGATTATTATTGGAATTTTAAATTCGCGGGCCTTTTCTATGAGCTGCCGCATATTAAGGATTTGCTCTCTCGTACCCTTCCCTTTGACAAAGCCTGCTTGTTCTTGGGGAATTTGGTTGTCTAAGTACTGTTGCAAACGGCGTTTAATGATTCTTAGTAATATTTTGCTTGGATGGGAAATCAGTGAGATGGTACGATAACTACTACACTTTGTAGTTGTTCCTTTTTGATGGATTGGTATGCACAATGATGTGCGCCATTCTCTGGGCTACTTTCCGCCTCTCCAAATTTTATTACAAAGTTTCCACATTATGTAACATCCTTTGTCTCCCATGTTCTGAAGGAGCTCTCCCGTGATATCATCGCAGCCAGGGGATTTATTCTTCTTGAGGTGAGTTACAGCTTCTTCAATCTCGGACAGCAGAATTTCAGGTTCAGGGTTGTATTCAGTGTTTTCGAGGGCTGAAGTGTGGCCTAGATTTACGTGTTCTTCCCTGTAGAGCTCTGAACAATAGTTTTTCCATGTTTCCAACACTCTGTCGATATCACTTATGATAATACCATGTTTGTCCTCTATTGCATAGTTCTTGGGTTTAAATTCTCTCGCAAGAATTTTCACTTTCCGGAAGAGGTCTTTGGTTTCATTTCGATATCCGTGATTTTCTATTTCTTGGCAGATTTCAGAGATGTATTCTTGTTTGTCTTTTCGGCATCTTCGTTGAATATCTCTGGAGAGAACTGCTTAAACAGCCTTAAGTTATGAAAAGTTCCCAAAGCAAATCTTTCTCTCAGGATCGGATGAACCCAAAATTTTCTTTTATTGGCTGTTTTTCTTTGCTTCCTTCTAAAAAGATAGAACATCACAACAAAAGCTTCGTCGGCGACGTCCATCGCGTACAGTCGCCTCGTTTATAATGGCTCCGGTTTAGATGGGAGTTAACATACGACTAGTGAGAATTGAGGCGGCAACAAGCGATTAAAAAACGGATCCGACAATCCGACAAGTGAGAACGGGCTCTTACACACAGCGCTATGTAATTTGAACAACAAAAAATAGACACCGCTGTGTTTTGCATTCTTCGTGCAAAAAGAGTTTGTTGCATTCGGTAAAACATGAAATCAAGACTACTTTTTGTCTTTTTTGTATAGATAAATATTTTGTTATCTGCATACAATTTTATTATCTTATGTAAAACATAAGTATTATTTCGTAATATGATAAATTATAATATGATATATTTTTACTAGAAAAACTAAGATGTTTGTCGCTACAAAGTTAACCAAAGAAAATGAATTTTGCGGTTTTCCTTATTATATATTTAATCTGTTTTGTTAAATAGGTGTTCTAAGTTCATTATGATGTCATCACGTGCATCGATGCATTTCCGTTTAATAACAGAACAGAAGTTAATGATAGTCGCAGTTCTCGCAAGCTATCAATTAAATTGTCACCGACCTTCAAGTATAATTCAAACCACTTCAAACTATTCGGTGCATAAGTCTCGCTAGTTTTATCACTTTGCCAACACTTTACTAGTTCGGTAAACATGTTTATTTAATATGCATATTTATAATTTCAAAAGCTGTCTACAAAATTATTAGATAACCAAATAAAATAAATTTTCTCAGTTAATGTCACTTGTTATCCACGATGAAGTCGAAAGAAGTGCTAACGTTTCTATTTTTGTCATGTGTGTGTTATACCAGTAGCTATAAAATTTTGGGAATATTTCCTTTCGCTGCTCCGAGTCATTACTTTCTAGGAAATGAACTCATGAAAGGGCTTGCTAGAGCCGGACATGAATCTACTATTTTGACAGTTTTTGAAGAAAAGAAACCACCTAATGATAACTATAAGCAGATTTTTATGGAGGGATTCTACGATCAACAAATCCGTAAGTACTTTGTTTATGAAGTTTTTATCTAATATATAAAATACACACACACAACATAGAATGACAATTTTATCTTTATATTATTTCCTTAAAAAAAAAGAAAAATCGTAAAGACAGTCAGAAAGGACAGCCTTATTTAATATTTTTTGTTCAGCAATTGCCAAAAAATGGCACCACAAATGTTAAGCTAAAATAATAATTTACATTTCTTCGTACCTTCCACATTTTTTCGGATTTTCGATTTTTTGTGGGGTAAAACTATTTATTCTTTTGACTGTCATTATCTTAATGACATTTTCATTCTTACCTATAGCTAGTATTTGTATAAGCCTGATGGAAGGTGTAATAAATAAAATAAGTAATATATTGAGTAATTGTACAAGCAACAAGTATATTAACTTCACATGTCAGTAACCTAACTTAACAAACTTGCCTAATCTAATAATCTGTCCCTGTCACCTCCTGTCATGCCATCTTGTTACCAACATGAATAATATGATTGTTAGTTAACTGGGTATTATACAGTATTAAAAAAGTAATCTATGAGTCTGATTTGTGTTACATCGTTCCATAATGGCTTCGCAGAATTCGATTACTCCATCAAAGTCATCTTTAAATAGCTCCTGGACCAGATGTATTTTGTACGGATGCCACTTCTTCTATTTTAGCACTTTAACCATAGTTGATTGGTGATCGTTGCTAGCTAGTGTGACCTGTCTAGAACTGGTATGGGGATTTTCTTCAAACGATTGTACAATGTCCAGTTTCTTTGCATCTTCTATTGATTTTTTATCACGTCTGGGGAGATCTTTAACATTTTTTTCTTGATTTTTTTTTCAATTTTGCCGATTGTTGACTGAGAAATCGTTTTGACATTGGAGTATTTAAAATTAAAAAAAATACTAACTGTTACCTCATTCCTCATTCAGTCTCCACAACCAATTGATGTGGTGATTAATAAGTGATTATGATTACATCTCAATTCGTTTTGTTTCCGGAAGTTTCATTCTTGTTAATGCTGTTATTAATGTCGGCAAAAACTCGAACAGTAAAAATATGATATTGTTATCAACAAATTAGTTGACAGATTGATATATTATTGACAAGAACAACCAGTCATTGACAATACTGATTTAAATATTTGTGAGAAAATAACTGAGAATACTTGACTGATACTTCTTCTTCTTCTTCGTCTAGCCATTCACGTCCACATCTGAACATAAGCCTCTTCAAGTCTTCCTTTCCATTGTTTTTTATTGTACGCTACTTGTAGCCAGTTTTTCCCGGCAGTCCTTTTCAGATCATCTGTCCATCTCATAGGAGGTCTGCCTCTGGGTCTTTTGTGTTGGTATGGTCTCCAGGTAAAAATTGATCTGTGCCATTTGTTTAGATCGCTCCTAGCTACATGTCCAGCGTATTCCCATTTCAACTTTAATGATTTTTGCACCACATCGGTGACTTTAGTTTTCTGTCTTATCCATGTGTTTGTTTTCTTGTCCTTAAGTGATATACCTAGCATTGCTCTTTCCATCGCGTGTTGAGTGACTCTAAGTATATTCATATTCTTTTTTGTGATTGTCCATGTTTGTACCGCATAAGTTAATATCGGAATAATGCATGCACCAAAAACTTTGGATTTAAGATGTAATTGAATTTGTTGATTTCTGAGTATATAGTTCAGTTTACCGAATGTTGCCCAAGCCAACTTTCTTCTTCTTTTTATAACTTTATCGTTTATTATTGTCACGGTGTCTTCGGAGTGCATGACTTTTGTTTTGTTTAAATTCATTTTCAGTCCTGTTTTAGAAGATTCGGTATGTAGTTCTAAAAGCATGGTTTGCATTTCTTGTAGGTCAGTAGCTAACAGGATTATGTCATCTGCAAATCGTAGATTACTGAGGTAGCGGCCACAGATGTTTATCCTTATGTTTCCAATTTAGGTTTTTAAAAACGTCCTCCAAAACTAAGGTGAACAGTTTGGGTGATAAAGTATCTCCCTGTTTGACTCTCCTGTTTAATGGTACAGGGTTCGTGTGTTCATTTTCATTTAGGTAGTATGTAGCTGTAGCTTGGTTCATAGTTTCTTTTATTAAGTTAATATATCTGCTGTCTATTCTACAATTTTGCATTGCGTTTATTACGGCCGTGTGTTCTATGGTATCGAAAGCTTTTTCGTAGTCTACAAATGCTAGGAAAACTGGAAACTTGTATTCGTTACATTTTTCTATTAATATTTTTGTGGTTAACAGGTGATCGGAAGTTGAATATTCTTTTCTAAAACCTGCATGTTCATATGGTTGGTATTCGTCAAATTTCCTTGTTAGTCGAGTAGTCATGACTTTGGTGAGTATTTTAAACAGGTAAACAGGTGTGACAGTAGGCTGATGGGTCTGTAGTTTTCCAATTTTAGACTATCACCTTTCTTGTGTAATAAGATTACTTTAGAGTTGTTCCAGCTCTTAGGGACTGCCCTGATGTAAACAACTGCCCACAAGCTTAGTTACAATTGCAATTAGTTCCTTACCTCCTTCTAATATCATATCCATGGTAATACTATCTTCTCCTGCAGCTTTATTTCTCTTCATGTTTTCCAATGCTGTAGTTACCTCTGAAATTGTTACTTTTGGCATTATTTCTGATCCAACATTTTTTATTAATTTCCGTGCTGGTCTCATCTCAGCATCTTGTTGATGTGATCTGTAAAGTTCTGTGTAAAATTCTTCTGTTCGTGTCAGTATGTTTTCTCTACTTGTGATTTCATTTTCGTCTTTTCCCATTAATGATATCATCTGACGTCGTCCTAGTGTCGGTCTGAGGCATTTCATACTCTTATTTTTTTCAATAGTTGTTGTTATTTAATTTTTCGTTTTCTTTTCTTTTTTGTTGTCTAATTCCTTTTCTAATCTGCCTATTAAGTTCTCTATATTCGTCGGTTCCCCTTTTGTTAGATTTATTTAAGATCTTCCTTCTTTCTATTTGTTGTAATATTTCTTTGTATAATTCATTGTATGTTGTTTTTGGTTTTTTCAGTTGCAGAAGGCTTTTATTCACTGTTTCGGTAATAAGGTTATTCAAATCATCAATATCATTGGAGTTTATCTGCTGCATGCTAACTTGATTTAATGCATGCACTATCTTTTTATTAAATTCACTATTTTTGATTTCTTCAGATGTCCATTTGTATCTTTTTTCATGTATTCTTTTTCTTTCTAGTTTTTTGTTAATTATTAGTTTTGTTCTTATTAGTCTATGATCGCTTCCTAGGTTCAACTGATTTAATACTGATACGTCTTCTACTAGGTTTCTATTCTTCGTTAAGATATAATCTATTTCATTCTTTGTCTTTTTATCGGGACTCATCCATGTCCATTTTCTGCTTGGTTTTTTATTGAAAAAGGAGTTCATTGAGTACATGTTATGTTCATTCATGAAATTGAGAAGCATTTCTCCTATATCGTTTCTTTTCCCGTAGCCATAGTTACCAATTAAATGTTCATAATCTTCCTCTTTTTTGCCCAATTTAGCATTAAAATCTCCTAATAGTATTTCGTAATTTGCTTTATTTGTTTCTATAGCTGTTCTTATTTCATCATAATATATTTCTACTTCTTCATCGTCGTGGCTTTTGGTCGGAGCGTACACTTGGATCACTTTCAGAGTGGTTCTTTTATTAATCCTGATGATGAGATATGCTACTCTGTCTGATATGGGCTTGAATTCTTCGATACACTGTGTGAGGCTTTGTTTTACCAAGAATCCCACTCCAGTGTATTCGCCACCTTTATGCATAAAATGTGTGCCATTTTTTAGTATTATATACTCATCACTTTTTCTTCTGGTCTCGCATATACCAAGGATATCCCATTTTATATCCTTTAGTTCACTTTCTATTTCTGGGAATCCATTGTCGTCCGTCAGTGTTCGATAATTGTAGGAGCACAGCCAAATTGTCATCTTGTGGCAGCCGGGTCTTACCCAGGGATTCTTAGCACCCCCCCTTCCGTTAGTTGTTTGATCGCTGCCGTGATCAAGACTCTGGGAAGTGCTGGGCACTGGGGGCCTTTTCTTTTTTGTCCTGTACATTGACTTGAAGGTTTGGACCGGTATCTCCTCACGCTGGTCCAGTGCGGGTTGAGGTGGGAAGGGAAGGATTTGGGTAGGTCTGGGTTGGTGGGTAGGATTTAGGGATTAGGATCCGCTTCTCTCCGGGAAGAGGATTGGGAGAAAAAGCCGAGCTCGCGTGGGCAGGGGCGCATCCCTGAAGCAGACCTGTCTTTACCGGGATCGTAAAGAGTGTCTACCCGCTACGCGCGGCTGATTGACTGATATTACAATAATTAATTTCAGATTAGAATGCAGCCTTACTATCAATCAACGTATTTTTTTTCGGAATCAGCAAAAACACAATTTTGTTTTTTTCTCAGTGGCGGTCCTTATTGTAATTTAATTCAGGGAATGAGTTTTTATTGTAATTAATTGCAAAAAACTGTAAAAAATTACAAGTAAACGAAAAACTGGTGTTTATAAATAATTACTGCTTACTTTTAATTAATGCACTTTCTTCACTTTTTAAATCGCTATAACCGTCATCGTAACTTACTAATCACGACCTTTTTATTTTAGAACTTTTTGGTCATTTGGCAAATATGTCCCGAAAAGACGGTCAACAATTCTTCACAAATCCTGTCAAAGCGATGCTCGGTTTCTTCAAAATATTGAACGAAATAACTGAACTAACATTAAATCATACAAAAACTCAACAATTACTCCAAGATAAACCGAAATACGATGTGGTTATAGTTACTCAATTTAACTTTGAAGCGCTAAAAGGCATTGCTCCACATTTAGGAGCCCATTTAGTTGTTTTTAACAATCATGGTGCCGGTTCTTGGGTAAACCATCTTGTAGGAAACCCATCGTTACCTTCATATGCTGCCGAGCTCATTCTAGGATTTTCGGGGCAAATGGACTTCAAACAGAGACTAATAAATACGTTGTTTTCTATAGCACAATACGTGAACCTTAATGTTTTTCTTTATCCACGGCATTCTGAACTAATGCATAAATACATCTCGAAAGATATTGACTTTTACAAGGTTATATACAATACTTCCCTGGTACTTCTTAACTCCCACATCAGCCTTGCCAAATCGGGTGCTTTGGTACCTTGCATGAGGGATATTGGAGGATTTCACGTGCAGCCACCCAAAAAGCTACCAGAGGACTTGCAGAAATACTTAGATGATGCTAAAGACGGTGTCATTTATTTCAGTATGGGCTCAAATGTCAAAAGTTCTACCTTACCTCTAGAAACTAGGCAAGCTTTGATGAAAGCGTTTTCGAAAAGAAAGGAGAAAGTTTTGTGGAAATTTGAAGATGATAATATGCCTGGTAAGCCGGCTAATGTAAAAATCCAGAAGTGGCTGCCGCAGTCTGACTTATTGGGTAAGTGATTTTGCCATGTTGGTACTTTATTTTTCTTTGATTAGATTTGTTAATGCCTGAAACAATGGCAATTGGAGAAATGTTAAAGCTGCTTTATCTAAAATATACTCTAAAATTACTTCCAGAATAGTCGTTTACATGGATTAAGCCGTATAATACTTTTATGTAATTTTTCTAACAACATTAATTTATAGTACTAACTTTGTATATTTATAACATTAACAACTTAAATTATAGTTATGTTGCTAACTTTTATTAAACTTTATTTTAATTGCCTTAATGACGCCCCCACTAAAGAAATATTTTGTTGATTTATAAAAATATCTAAATGCATTTAATGTAACTTCTTAACTTTTCAAATGTTATTTTTTTAGAAGGAAGAAAAAGGGGTATACATAAAGACGGAATATATAATCAGAATGAAAGACTTTCAAAAAATTAATAAACAAGTCGAAAATAAACATTAAAAGTTTCTTAAAACTTCATTTTAAGGGGAAGGTAGCAGATAGGCTAGTGTGATCTGAGCGCAACCCCTAAATCGCAACCCCCGGTCGTAACTGCCAAACGCTTAACGTATTTGTCAGTGATTATTTTTAAATTTATAATATTCGTTACGGCAAACATGTATACGGCTAAGAAGGGAAGGCGTCTTCCACTAATTTTTTGTAAGACCGCTCTATCTGAATATACTGTTTTTATTTCCATAAATACTTGTTTTTCAGCACATCCGAATATTAAACTATTTATAACACATGGAGGATTTTTAAGTACGATCGAAACGGTTTATCACAGAGTTCCAACTGTAGCTATTCCTGTTCTCGGCGATCAGTTGAAGAATGCTAGACAGTCAGAAAGTGATGGATACACAAAAGTCATAGAAATGCAGGAGCTAACAGAAGAATTACTTTCCTCTACTATCGAGGAAGTCATATCAAATAAAAAGTAAGTATTTTTTGCTTCTGTCTATATATATATATATATATATATATATATATATATATATATATATATATATATATATATAAACAAAAAAGGTTAGTAGTAAAAAGTGAATAGTAAAGGTATAATGTCATGGCATGTCTTGAAAAGCAAAATAACCACGGAGTGTACATCTTCTCAGCTCAGTAAGTTATTTGGTTTATGGCGGATGTATTGATGATGATGATGCTATTTAATCCGAAGAAAATTACATATTAATTTAAGTATTTACAAAAATTCACTAATCCCAGACACCTACGGCATCAAAAGGGTTGAACTCTGATGGGACTCGTATCGTGTTATCGAGCTCTAGGTGACGTATTATGATATCTAACGCATCTGAACGTCGCGAGGAGTACAGTTTTTCGTATGGTCTTATAGAGATGTTCATTTAGACCTAGCTGTTTTATGTTCTCTAAGTGGTTTTTGGGAATAACACCAGTAGTAGATGGAAAAAGAAGCTAAGGAGATGTTACATAAACAGATCCAAGAACTAGAAGAAATTGAGAAAAAATATGACTGTTTTAACATGCATAAAAGAATTAGAGAATTAACAGGAATGAGAAAAACACTTCAAACTAGGCAACTAAGAGATGAAAGAGGTGCACTTGTAACAGATATAAACCAAAAAATGCAGAGATGAACACAATATATAGCACAACTTTTTGAAGACAAAGAGAGAACAGAAGCACCAAAAGAATTTAAGGATGATACTGGACCTGACATTATACGAGAATAAATTCAATATGTAATGAAACAAGCTAAAGGTGGTAAATCTCCCGGGGCTGATTAAGTTCCTATCGAATTACTTAAAATTGTGAATACTGAATCTGTTGATCTCCTTTTGGATTTATTCAATACCATATATAGAACAGGTATAATACCTAAAGCATGGCTTCAATTAACATTAATACTGCTTCCCAAAAAAGCCAATGTAAAGGAGTGCAATGAACATCGCACCATAGCTTTAATGATCCATGTCTTGAAATTGTTTTTAAAAGTAATTCACAGTAGAATACATAAGAAATTAGATGAAGGCATCAGTGGAAGGAAAGAGATGGATTGGTCAAAAGAAACTTTCATGGCTGCGTAATATTAGACAATGGTGTGGTTTCACAGTAGAAAAATTATTTCGCGCAGCAGCCGACAGAAAAAGGTTTCAGGAAATTGTAAACATGATGACGGCCAACGTCTGAATATGGACACGGCACCCAAAGAAGAAGAAGATCAGTAATACACAAATGGGATTTAGGAAAGGACTGGAAACACGAGATCCACTGTTTGCAATAAGTGTTCTTTCGCAGTGATGCTTAGATATTAATCAGGAATTATATGCCTGTTTCATTGATTTTGAGAAGCTAGTAACTTTTAAGCTAATACTAGATAATACAGAAAATGAACAAATATCTTCGTACAAATACCTTGGAGCATGGTTCACAGAAGATACTGATTAGATAAAAGGAATAAAATGCTGCATTGAAATTGCACGATCAACTTTTAATAGAATGAAAAAACTTTTTTGTAATCGCGATATCAATATGTCACTCCGGATAAGAATGCTTCGATGTTATATTTTCTCTACCCTTTTGTATGGATACTTAAAATATCCAACATTAAAAACCTAGAAGCATTCGAAATGTGGTATTACCGACGTATTTTGAAAATATCATGGATGGATCGCAAAACAAACGAACAAGTTCTCGAACAACTAGGAAAACATTGCAAAGTTTTACATTCCATAAAAATCAGGAAATTGGAATACTTGGAATGCTTGAATACCGAAGCGTAGAAAGACGTAAAATCTCGTGGCTACGCAATCTCCGTGAATGGTTTGGATGCAGTTCAATTGAACTATTCAGGCGCGTAACCAACAAAATTATAATTACCAGAATGATTTCCAATCTCCGATAGGAGTGAAACTTGAAGAAAAAGAAGTAGATGGAATAACAGGTACTGTCTGCGTTATTTCCATTCTCCATTGTCTCCTGTATTATGTTTATTAATATCATTGACATTTTTTTATTTCTTTAGAGTAAAATGGACTCACGTTCTGTCCCTTGATAGTTTCCAGCAGTCAAATAAACTTATTTAGTATATAATAAACAGCCATAATAAAGCTATATTTTTCTTCATCTAGTGTGATATTTAGTACTTAAAAAAAAGAAATAAAACAAGAATTAATAATGATTGAATATAATTAATATATAATTTGGTACATCTGTAAATTGAAATATCTAACAGTCCTCGCACCAGCACTTCAAACTAGGACTGCAATGGCCACTGACTCTTCCTTCTCCTTTGCATACTCGACGACAGGTTTCGTTGTCCCAAACTGCACAAGGACCTCCATAATTAGCGGAAAGACAGTCACCAAAGGCAGTTTTAGCGCTGACAGTTAGCAGGAGAAGAACGGCCAAGAGGTATAATACTTTCATATTGAATCCTGCAAAAAGATTGTTCATATTTAAAACTAAAAATCTCAAGGAAAATAAAATATGACCTATTAACATAAGGTAATAAAATTTCTTTAGGGGATTTCTACGTTGTGAACTGACGTGAACCCATCTATAAATATACACTGCATAAGCCATACAGATATTGTACATATACATTTACGCTTACGAAACACAAATGTTGCACATCAAAATGCCTTCACATTTTTCTCTTTTTTAAATTGCCAATACAGGAAAACCTCCCTTAACCGAAACCTTTTTAACCGAAACATCGTTTAATCGAAACGGCTGACAGTTTCAATAATTTCGTCAATAAAAAGTAAATTTTATCGCAAAATGTAAATTCCATTAATTTCACTCCCCGATTGATGCCATATGTGTTGGGAAATAAAAAAAACCAAGAGTTCTAAAAGATATTTGAGAAGAAGCACTTCCAGTTTTTTATAGAAGCCAAAAAAGCTCATGGATGTCGACCACTTTATTTTCAGAATGGTTCGAAAATGAATTCGTCCCAAGCGTAAAATCCTTTTTAAAATAAAAAAAAACCTTCCCATCAAAGCATTGTTGCTTGTTGACTCAAAATCTATACAATAGTGATAATTGTCAGATAATTTTGCCACCGAATGCCACGAGCTTAATTTAGCTGTTAGACCAGGGAGTAATAGAGACATTCGAGAGACATTATAGAAATCCTCAAATGTTTAACAATGAAACATGTTGTTTATCGGTGTGCTGAGTTCTGGGCCAAGATCAAATCTTCAACTTGGTAAAAATGCTGGAACTAACTTTTTGATAGGATTTTGATTGACGATCCTGAAGAATAAAAAGGCAAAGAAACGACAGAAGAAATTAAACCTTTAATAAAAAATTTGCCGAGCGTATCAGACGACGATGACCACCCAACAGATAACAGGCAGCATAAGACCTCCGAAGAGATTTTCAATGCCTTAAGGATAAGAATTTTATACAGTATGACTAATTAGTTAGGGAAACGACTAGGTTTCCCTAATACTTTAACCAAGAATACTATAAAAAACAGTGTCATTTTTAACCGAAATTCTTGTTATCCGAAACGGCCTCTGCCCCAATTATTTCGGTTAACGGAGGTTTTACTGTAAACTCTTTACTATTAGCCTCCCCTGGCTAACAGTCGTTTCTTCAAACCCGATTAAATATTAGGTTTTAGACTATAGTTACAAAACAAATTTTAAATATAGGATGTAACACAAGTTCCTAGACGTCCAAAATCATGAAATTTATAAAAAGGAGGAATTTAGTTGGATACACTGAATGTTGTATATCTAAATATAGTAATATCAGGTAGCTTAGGGTAATACTAGAGTCACATAAGGGGTTTACCTGAAATCAGCAGATAGAAACTACTTTAACCTAGAGTTCGATCATGTAACCAAGAAAGCCGTGACTACTTTAATGGTAAACAGATGGCCTCATGGAAAAATACACTATAAAGAAACTGTAGGTACTAAGTAAGTAATACATTCATTTGTTTTTAAAATTATTTAATTTGGAATATTATAGACGAGCACGATATTCTTAAGTGGCGGCTCAAAAAGTAGCAGAGATATTTATTAAGTAAGCCATACTTTTAATTTTTTTAACATGAAATGAATACGATTTTTCTATAACAGTCAATCCCGTATTTTCGAAGAACTTGCCAAGGAGAACATCTTCTTCTTTGAGTGCCTCTCCTATCGGAGATTGGATATCATTATGGCGATTCTAATTTTATTTACTGCTGTTTTGAATAATTCGTTAGTGGTACAGCCAAACCACTCTCTTAAATTTCTCATCCAGGACATTCTTCTACGGACTGGATTTCTGCGTTCTTGGATTTTTCCTTACAAGGAGGAGAACATAATTAAAGAATATTCGGCTACTACGTAAGTTTTTTTTACCAAATATAAAATGTAGTAGCAGTAAAAAGTACAGTAAACTTTAAAACATAAATAAATAATTTATATGTCTTTTAGACAAACTACTTCAGATTTCATATTACAAGAAAGAAGAATTGTAGATGTGGAATATTTTATTAGGCAAATACTGCAATTCCCTCACCACAGATTGTTCAATTGCTTCCGGAAGATATTACAGTAACTAGTGAAAAGCGAAAAGGATGTTATTCTAAATTTACTCTCTTTTGCCCAATGTGTCGCATAAAACATGAAGTAGAAACTGAAAAATTTAAACAACTATCCCTCAACGTCAATGCAACAGCAATAACTGGAATAGTTAGTATTGGTGGAGGATAACCACAACTAACTGAATTACCGTCCAGTCTAAATATCCCACTACTATCAAAAAATATTATTTATTAATTCAAAATGATCTAATTGACTTATACCATAAAAGTTTTTGGACATCAATGCTTGAGGCTGGACAAGAAGAAATCAAATTAGCAAAAGAGCATGGAGATATTAATAAAGATGGCTATCGTTTTATAACTGTTGTTGCGGACTGCTCTTGGTCAAAGAATACGTATGTTTGTATGTA